CAGATTCCTTTAAAATTGGAAGAAGAAGCCCAAATGCCATTTAGATGAATAATCTTCTGTTTGACTGGGTATGTACAAAATGTCCCCATCCCCAGTAAAGCAGCTTTCCAGAACTTTCCTGGGCCATCGGTGGACACCTGATCCTAGCATAAATGATGACTTGGCCTCTATTATCCAGTTTCTTTAATATAGCAATGAATGCAGGTTCCTACTGCCTAGATCATCTCACACAAGAGAAACCTGAACACATCTCTGTCCACCAGACTGCTACTTTGGCACACTCTGAGAACCAGAAATGCCAGCAGGGACATTTCTATTCAGGATATAGCTTGCTCCTGTGGGCCTAACCCTGGGCAATGTCTTGGCATCCTTGAGCTGAGGTTGAGTCTTATTTCCAAACTTTCTTGGCACTGCACTGTACATTCTTGGTTGGTACACAGTTCCATGCCCCAGGGACACTGGCAAAGGCCTCTACTTTGGAAAGCTGAAGTATACTCTAGAAGCTTCTCTGAGTCTATCTCTCCATTTCTCTTCCTATGATTAACATGATTCTGAAATGCATGTTATAGATAAGTAGCTCTTATGATGGACCATTCTCAACAAGTTGGAGGTGAAGAACAAAGAAGTCACTTGGTTGACCTCCAGTGTCAAACAAGGGTCCTGGAGGTGAGTCACAAGCCTTCTGTCTCTGTGTCTTGTACTGCTAAGTTAAACTCAGTGTGGAAGCTCAGACACACTCTTTTTCCCAGCTCCAGTGCAAAGCAAAAACCACTGATATCTCATCCCTGTTCCTGGATGTATACCAGAACTACTTAAACATATTTCTTTAAAATGCAAAGGCTCAGGGGCTGGAGAGATGGCTCAATGGTTAAGAGCACTGGCTGTTCTTCCAGAGGACCTGGGTTCAAATCCTAGCATCCATGTGGCAGTTCACAACTGTCTTTACAACCTATTCCATGGGATCCAACACCCTCACACAGACAAAACAGAAATGTACATAAAATAAAAATAAATAAATTAGTTTAAAAATGCAAAGACAAGTGACACCATTTTGAATCACTCTCAGGGATTCAAAGTTGGTATAGGAGAGAAACACACACAAACACACAAAACCAAGCTCACACACACACACACACAAACTAAGCTCCCCTGTGGTTCTGATACAGCCAGCTCAGAGCCTTTCTTTGAGCTGGTATTAAGGAAGCCTGACCCAAGAGCTGAATGAAGAGACTTCTCCTTCCTAGATTCTGTGTCACTCTCCTGTAGGCACTGGAGTGGTCACATACTTTCAGCTGATTCAGAGGCCAAAGGAGTCATTATTTTCCTGGGAAGACTGACAAGCGGGGTAGAAGCAGTGTACACTAAAGAGACAGAGAACTGTCTTTAGTTCTGCTAGATTTAATGAAAATGCAGGCTTCTTCCAGGTTCTGGAACCCTGGAGAATCATTTCACTATTCCTTGGGCTCAGAGGCTCTATAGATTAAAGTAGGTTAACATTTTTAACCTGCCAAAATGGCAGAGGATGCAACAATTTTAAAGCCCTTGACATGAAAAAAAAATCTTCTGTGTTCCTTGAAAGGAAAATGACAGACAAGTCCAAAAGTGAAAGATTTTTTTAAATCCCCATCCAATCCAGCCTTCACATTGCAGTCAGCATCACTATCTCAAAGCAGAACTTGCTGAAAGCACCCGCAAGCTGACCTCCCCACAGCCAGCTGAGAGTCTTAGCTGCATCTTGCTGGGGCCCCATATCTAAGAAACCCCCTTCTCGTGATATTTCCAGTTTTGTCTCTTCAAACTCTCTCCTCTACCTAGCCGTGTGTTCATAGGTAGCAAATGACAGCCCTTGGGCAAACTCTGAACTCACGCTTATGTCCAGGACTAACACTTTATCGGAGGATAGTCATGCTGGTTTGTTTATTCATCATCTGTGATATCTTTGTGTCACAGTCAGAGATGAGTAATTTTGACAGAGACCCCCTGAGGCCTTATGGCTGGTAAAGCCTAAAATATTTACTATCTTGCCTTTTATGAAAAATTTTGTGATTCTGGCCAAAGATGCTTACAGTTATTTTCACCGTGATCTATAGTAAGTACATTTTACCAGGAGAACTACTGCACACATATGTGTGCATGTGTATACTTACATACATACTACTACACACATATGTGTGCATGTGTGTACTTACACACAGAGAGAAGTTTTGGCACGCAATATCTAAATTGCAATGCGCTCCCATAGCTCCTGTTCCTTAAAGCAACTGATGCTATCATGTTACTCTCATGATCCACATTTGAAAAATACCACTCCAGAAAAAGCAAGCCATTGACTACATAAAAGACAAGTCCCTGCTCTCCCACCTCCATTGACTTTCTGACATTATCTCTTCTGGCAGGGCCTTGGTCTTCCATGTCTCGGTCTAAAATTCCTCCCCATTCTTCAAGTACAAGCTCAGCTGCCATCTCTTTCAAAAAGCACACACGTCAAAATTCTAGTCCCAATGCGTTTTTTTCCCTTATCTCGTCTCTTAAAGTGCATTCTCTATGCCTCTTTGTGGTCCTTCAAAGTTTCTGTTTTGTAGACATATTATTATCCTTAGGAAGACAGCCTTCATCACTTCATATTCAACATGTCACCCAATTGAATGCAAAGAAGTTAATAAATGTTTACAAAGTAGAAATGTGCATTAGCTAATTGTCCTAGTTTGCTTTCTACTATGGTGATGAAACACTGACCAAAACTCAAGTTAAGAGGAAAGGGATGTATTCATCTTACAACCTCCAGTTCATAATCCATCACTGAGGGAATCAGGGCAGACACTTGAGGTAGGAACCTGAGGCAAGAATGAAATGGAGGTCATAGAGGAAAGCTGATTATTGACTTCGTGTTCATGGCCTGCTCAGCTTGTGCTCTGAGGACAACTTGTCCAGCAAAACACAGTTGTCTGGGCCCTTCAATGTAAATCATTACTTGAGAAAATGCCCCCATAGATTTGCCTACAGGCTATCAGATGGAGGAATTTTCTCAGTTGAGGTGCCCTCTTCTATCTCAACAAACAAAACATCTCACAACATCAGAGTTCCTTCAATCGACGCATCAGCACACTGAAAACCAAAAAAAGAATAGATAAATATAAAGATAAGTTGTGCTGTTCCATTTTTTGTCAGCCTAACACAAACTAGAGTTTTGGGAGAAGAGAAACTTCAATTGAGAAAATATCTCCATCAGATTGCCTGCAGGCAAGTATGTGAGCATTTTTTTAAATTTAATGATTGACATAAGAGGGTCCAGCTAACAAGGGGGTAGTGTCACTCCTGGGAAGATGGTTCTGGACTGTTAAGGAAGTAGGCTGGGCAAGTCATGGTGAGCTAGCTAGTAAGCAGCATAATCAGCATTCATCCACAACCTCTACTGCAGTTCCTGCCTCCAGCTTCCTGCCCTGAGTGCCTGCCTTGACTTCGTTCATGATGTACTATAAGCTGTCTTTATCAAAGTGATGGAAACCCAAGATAGATGTCAATGAGGATCATCTAAACTTAAGCACACACATACAAAAGAATAAACCAAATTAGATGAGTACATGGAAAAGCTTCAAGTCAATGTCTTTGGTCATGGGTGATCAACATATAGTGTAACTGGAGTCTCATAAGAAAAAGAGAATATGAAAGATAAATGTTTGAAAAGGTAGTGACTATTTTCCAAAACTAACAATATATATAGACCCAGAAACATCACACACACACACACACACACACACACACGCCTAGACATATTAAATTTTAGTCATCGAAAATCAAAAATTTTTTAAAAATTGAATAGAGCCAGAGGGTATATGACTTGGAGAAAGCACTTTAAATAGTAGAATAGAGATACAAATTATACCAGAATCATGGAAATATGCAAAGCAATGGAATGACATCTTTAAGTTATTAAAGAAGTAATTTTAACTGTGACAGTGGTGTCATGGTTATATGCTTTTTCTGACATGGTTTTATATTTAAAGATTCCCACTGAAATATTCAGGAATAACAAGATGAGTTTTGGGATAGGAGGTTGCTTCATAACAATCAGGAAAGGTAACTTTCTTTGTGGAGAGAGTACAGAAAGCCATATTGATGATAATTCATAAAGAGAGGGAGGTAGGGGAGATGGAGGGAGGAAGGGAGGGAGGGAGAGAGGAAGGGAGGGAGGGAGGGAGACATTGTAGTACCTGCCAAATATTCAGGAGATAAGGGCAGGAAGATGGAAAGTTCAAGTGTGAGGCCAGCCTGAGCTATATAGTGAATTCTAGACTAGCCTCAGCTATATAGAATGACCTTGTCTTTAAAAAAAAAACAGCAACATGCAACATAGTGAAACACCCCTATAGTCTACTCTGGAGTCCTTGATCACTCATTCAAAGCTAGCAAGACCCTAACTTTAAATTTAAAAGATGTAGTTTACTGACAGAGCACTCATCTAGCAAATGAAAAGCCCAGAGTTCAGTCTTCAATAGTATAAAATAAAATTATTATCAAATAATGATTTAAAAACTGACCATGGCTAGGCAGTGGTGGCACACACCTTTAATTCCAGCACTTGGGAGGCAGAGGCAAGTGGATCTCTGAGAGTTCACAGCCAGCCTGGTCTATAGAGCTAATTCTTAGACAGTGGGGGGCTACACAAAGAAACCCTGCCTCAAAAAGAGAGAGAAAGAGACTGACCATGAGTTGATAATACTGGAAATTGAGTGGTACAATTAATATGATATTCTGTTTACACTTACAATTTTTAAATTCTGGTAAGAGAACTTTTCTCATAAAGACAGGAACTTTTTTAGAGATATCCTAAAGAGGTGAATGTGTCAGTGCACATATCCTAATGGATTTCTCTGATTTTTTTTTTTGCCTCTAAGTAATTCTTCCTCCAGCCTTTGATGCGCAGAAAGACGTACAAGTCTCCAATGGATTTGAAGAACTGCAGCCACCCTCACCAGTAACATCAGCCCAGCCCAGCCTACCAGTGCCAAAGCTCTCTTCTCCACACAGAGAGCACCGTCCAGAGTCCATCAGATTGGAGAAGAATCTCCATCCAGCCGGGGTCTCATACACAGGAACCTTCATTGATTTAGCCACTCTGAAAAAGGAAATTTGAGGCAACCATCAATTCACATGACGGATTTCCTTTATTTTCTCAGCTCAGTAGAAAGTCTTACGATCTATTTAATCTGCAAGCACATTTCAGAACAGCCTGAACAACTGCTGACAGCTTAGTTTTGAAGCTGTGAGTTACAGAGTAAGTAACATCCTTCAATGCTCTCAACTCTGCTTTCTCTATAATACAATATATACTAAGTCACTGCATGAATGATTCCAATATCAGTGTTCCTATAAATTTGGCAGAATCTAGAAATGCTGGTGGTTTCCGGCTAACAAATACAGCTTTCTTTCAATAAAAGATATTTCACTTGGGCTGAAGAGATGGCTTAGTGGTTAAGAGCATTGACTGCTTTTCCAGAGGTCCTGAGTTAAATTCCCAGCAACCACATAGTGGCTTACAGCCATCTATAATGGGATCTGATGCCCTCTTCTGAAACAGAGGCATATGTGCAGACAGAGCACTCATACCTAAAAAATGCATAAATAAATAAAAATCTAAAAAATAAGATGTCCCACACAAAGTCAGAAAGCCACCACTAGGTCAACTTAGTTAGTGTCTGATCCATGTGGAATAGTCAAAGGTCTGTCATTCATCCTAATTTTGGTACAACTCCGTGAAGCTATTTCAGTTCCAGGGATCCTTGCATGAAGGATTTTATGTGTCTTCAGTAGTTAGGTGTCTGTCTGTCTAGTCGTCTTCACTGTCCCTTTCCTATAATTTGAATATGACATGTTCCCTAAATGTCCACATTTTAGGGCTTGGTCCTCATCTCAGCACTATTAAAGATTATGAAAATCCTTAAGGAACACTCAGTAGGATGTTTGGGATCTTTGGGGGGCATGCCCTCAAAGGAGGGGCTGCGTGATGTTGGACTCATCTTCTTTCTTTTTTTTTTTTTAACTTCTCATGAGGTGATCAGTTTCCTAAGCTGTGTGCTCCTACTAATATGGGCTGCATCACCATAGGCCCAAAGGCAACATGGTCCAGTGACAATGTAATAAAACCTCTAAAACCAGAACAAACATCTCTCCTTTCTACATTGGCTGTCACAGGTGTTTTGTTACAGTAGTGGAAACCTGACTGACAAAGTGTTGATCATAGAGGCAGGTTTGATCTTTAAGGTAGAAAGGAATGAACTCCCTACAGGAAAATTTCTTTTAGAGCCATTTCCTGGAGACCCCAGTGTGTGATGTTACTCAACATAGTGTAACATGAGATTTGACAAGACTGATAAACCGCTATTTACAATAACTGAAACAATAAATAAATATCCTAGGAGAATGGACAAATAGCTTATGATATTGAGATGGTTAATCTTAATTTTCTACTTGATTGGATTAAGAGACACCTAGAAGATTAATGAAGCATACCTTTGGGTAGGCTGTGGGGGTGTTTCCAAAGATGATGACGTCATAAGGGTTGTGACCTAATGGTTCACATTAGAGTAGCCTGCTGAGAGGGAGCAGAACAGTGGAGTACGCATCCTAGCTGGAGGAAGTGGGTAATTAGTCTGCTTCCTGGCCACCACAAGGTGAGCGGCCACTGCCATACATTCCTGCAACCAGGATATTCTTCCCCATCTCAGGCATGTAACAATGGCTCTAGATAACTCAAACCAAAACTTGAAACTTTGACCTAAAATGAATATTTCCTTATTTCAAGTTACTTTCTCTGTCATTTTGTCATGGTAATGAAAAGCTTACTATTGTGGATATATAGATGCCATTAAATAAACGATTGTGTTAGGCACCACCCTGAATGAATGAAAACCCAAACAAAGGAATGTGTGCAATGCTGTTTTATAATACTTAGCTACTTAGATGTTCATTCAGCTCAAAGGTTCTAGCTCATCTCTTTTTCAACAGTTTAAGAAAAATATGCAATTGCACTTATATCCTGGGAGGAACAATGGAAGAGCCTCTCCACAAGCCTTAGAACAAAGGAGAATGTTCAGAGCTGCTAACTTCATCGTCAAGAACTCAAAGAAGGAAGAATAAATCACACAGAAACCCAATGGAGCACATAGGAAAATGTGGGTCATAGTTATCGTAACAAATGTAAACTCACAAGGGTGCCAAATAGAATGTAACACAGGGAGAAGGTGGGGGTGGGGGACAGTCATGAGGACACATAATCTTTGTCCAAAATACTCGTGTGGGTTCAAAGCCAAGTTGGCAGGACTGAAGGGAGGGGAAAGGATTTCCCTAGGTTCCACCCTTCCCAATCAATCACTGTCAGGAGGGCACCAGGCTGGATTGTAAAGAACCAGATACTTGTGTAACTATGAGCCTTAGTGGCAGTTATGCAAGCTGAGATAAGATGGGTAATTAAATTCCAGGACCCTGAGTGTAAACTGATTGTGCCCTGGGGTCAGAAAGGAATTCCCGTCCCTACCCTGAACTTGGGGCTCATCCCACGCACAGCACTCAGCAGACACTCTGAGTTAGACCTCCTGTTGGCAGGAAGCCCCTGGTGTCCACAATCCCTGAATACAAAAGCTGAAAGTGAAGCAGCTCACACAGCCACTCCCAGAGCACTGCCACCATAGGCCAGGAGCAAATGGAAGCTCTGTCAAGGAAGAAGAGAGTAGGGAGACTGTGGAGGCTGCACCTCTTCTGCCAGGGGAAATGAACCCTGCTTGGTGGCTAACAGAGCATATTGTATTAAGTCATCTCCTCAGTTGGGGTTTGTAGACCTTCACAGAAGTGAGGTCTTAGCCTCACTTTACAACAGCTTCCTCCACGCTCCCCCTTGTATTCTGTGCTCCTAAAGCTCTTCTCTATTTCCCAGAGATGTCCCTGCCTGCCTTCTGTTCCTGCTGGTTAGTGTTAGTCCTTCTATGCCATTCACTTAACTCCGACCAAGCCTTTGTTTCCAATCTCTGTCAAAATCTATTTTGAATGATCCGCCATCTGAAAGCCTGCCTAGATACATTTGTCCTGCTAAAACCAAAATGCCCGAGACTGATTTATAGAGAACAGAAAGTTATTTCTCATAGTTCTGGAGGGATGCCCAAGAGTACAGTGCCCATATTTGGCCTGGTGAGGAATTTGCTATGTCCTCACAAAGCAAAATACGGAAAAGCAACTTGCCACCTGCTCCATGAAACATCTTTCATAAGAGTTGTAAATTCAGGAACAAGGCCTCATTGTCTCTTCAAAGCCCCCTTCCTCTTTTCAATTCTTTCAACACCTGGGTTCTGGAGGGAGTTAACTTTCAACATGGATTTTGGAAGGGATTGAAGTTTCTCTGGCACACCCAGCTGATTGTATAACCTTACAGCAACAAGGTTGTAGCAGATTTAAAGGTGACAAGATCTGGGTCCCTTTGCCTATATCCAAATATCACGTTTGTTAAGCATCAAGAGGGGCCCACAGGACCATATTCTGTGTCCTGAGTTCTTGACCTTTCTTTAAAACCCTTCACCTTCACAGTCTGGGAGAAGATATCTGTATTGCACAAACCCAACCAAGTCCTCACACACACTCCATATTTTAAATTCCTATGAATCACTTTTAAAAAGTAAAAGTCCACAAAGAAATAAAAAACAAAATGTAGAAGGTACACACTTTATACAAGGTGATATCCAAAGGGCCAGTTGGCATATGAAAACTACTTGGAATTGCACACTAAAACCACAGTGTGGTGTCACTACCCACAATCCTAGAGGAAAAGAATGGGATTGGCAATGCTAGAGAAGACACGGAGTCTCATCGCAGAGTCACACTGACTACAGAGTATTTGTTCAACACAGTACAGTGCCATACCATAGGACAACAAAAATGAATAGTGTAGAACAATGTAAGCAGCGATTGGTAACGTGGAATAACGAAGCTAGACAATAGGATACCGCAGAACTCCATGTAGATGCAGCGCAAACAGGGTGAAAGAAGTCAGTGGTGGCAGGAGTCAGGGTGCTGGGGATCTGGGGATGGATGGAGAACAGTGGTGAGGAAGGGTGTTTCTTCACAGCAGTGGTTGCTGCGTGTGTGTGTGTGTGTGTGTGTGTGTGTGTGTGTGTGCGCTTAGAATTGCTTAGAATAGGTACACTTATGTACTGAACCTTTTCTACATGCACATTATACTTCGACTAAAAGTTTATTTTAAAGCTAGGCTTGGTGACACAGTGCTTAGGAGGCTGAAGTAGGAGGAGCAGGAATTTGGAGCCAGCCAGCCTGACTTCAAAGAATAAGATCCTATGGGGGGGCATATGGGAGAAAACCACAATTATTTAACTATTTTTAAAAGTTTATTCGCATGAAAGAATCCCTCTGGAATATTTAAGATTAAATGCATGTTTGAATTAGCAACATTTCGTACTCCTAGGAAACAAGGGAACCCCCATATGTTGTTAATGTCCAGCAGGCATGTAGCAGTCTTCAGGTTAGCTCTTCAGCGTCCTTACATGTTCATGTTCACACAGCCCTTTGATGTCTGGCTCTGCTGTCTGCAGATGCTCCCTAATAAAAGGCTTATATGAACTTGTACTTTAAAATCCCTTTTAAAGGAAGCCTGCCCAGATCATAAATATGAATGAGGCAGAGTTCATCCAAACCTGGTTTTCTAATAGCAGTCCCCCCTGACCTTTTTTCTTTTTATTGTCCAGTGATAAAACTTGAATTCCTGCACACAACAGGCAAGAACTCCAGCACTGAGCGATACAAGCCTTCTAACTGTAATCTTAAGTCTATTCTTAAGCCATTTTTGTTTGGATGAACTAGACATTGGGCAATCACACCAAGATGACTGCAGTCTCATCATTGTCTAAACCTCAAAACCCTCATGTAAAATGACACCTTCCTGCTTGTCTTATCAGATAGGCTGTAAGGATCAGATGTGAGAGCACCCCACTCTTGCCACTATAGAAAGGCCTCCTGAGTTACAACATTATCTCTCTTCTCAGTATGGGATCTTCAGTTAGCCCAAAGGAGGCAGGCTTACCACCTGAGAATATTTAAAAGGCAAAGATTAAGATA